TCAAAAGTGTTAAGTATCGCTGTCCATCGATGTCGTGAGTGCTGGGTATCGCTGATCATCGGTATCGTGATTTCTACCAGATTACCAACCCTACATTAGCGATGCCATGTGGCATTGCATCGCAATTCAACCGCGCGATGCCAAACTGCATCGTCAGTTGGAGGACCTGTCCAATATCATCTTCATCTGTAGTTGTGGCATCTGCCGCTACGGCATTCGCAATTAAGGCATCTGCAGTTGTGGCAACTGCCGCTATGGCATTCGCAATTAAGGCATCTGCAGTTGTGGCATCTGTCGCTACGGCATTCGCAATTAAGGCATCTGCAGTTGTGGCAACTGCCGCTATGGCATTCGCAATTAAGGCATCTGCAGTTGTGGCAACTGCCGCTATGGCATTCGCAATTAAGGCATCTGCAGTTGTGGCAACTGCCGCNCATCACTGCACGTTGTGATGTCCATCACTGCACGTTGTGATGTCCATCACTGCACGTTGTGATGTCCATCACTGCACGTTGTGATGTCCATCACTGCACGTTGTGATGTCCATCACTGCACGTTGTGATGTCCATCACTGCACGTTGTGATGTCCATCACTGCACGTTGTGATGTCCATCACTGCACGTTGTGATGTCCATCACTGCACGTTGTGATGTCCATCACTGCACGTTGTGATGTCCATCACTGCACGTTGTGATGTCCATCACTGCACGTTGTGATGTCCATCACTGCACGTTGTGATGTCCATCACTGCACGTTGTGATGTCCATCACTGCACGTTGTGATGTCCATCACTGCACGTTGTGATGTCCATCACTGCACGTTGTGATGTCCATCACTGCACGTTGTGATGTCCATCACTGCACGTTGTGATGTCCATCACTGCACGTTGTGATGTCCATCACTGCACGTTGTGATGTCCATCACTGCACGTTGTGATGTCCATCACTGCACGTTGTGATGTCCATCACTGCACGTTGTGATGTCCATCACTGCACGTAGTGAAGTCCATCACTGCACGTTGTGATGTCCATCACTGCACGTTGTGATGTCCATCATTATCCGCCACACTGTCCGCCGCCTCGCGTCTATCGACGCGCTGCTCGGTCGATGCAGCACAACAGTTTAGCGGGCGTCTCTGGCCACCTGTTGTTGTCCTGTTGCACCTGCCCTGTTGCTGTTATCTGGTGCTCCTGTTGTGGCTCCTCTGCACCTCCTGTTGCTGTTATCTGGCGCTCCTGTTGTGGCTCCTCTGCACCTCCTGTTGCTGTTATCTGGTGCTCCTGTTGTCGCACCACTTCTATCGGCGTCACTTCCATCTCATGATTGAGCAAACTATTTCTTTCTAGACCTACTTCATTCTAGACATTCGTACGTGCCTATTATAGCGAGGAGTGTTATAGGTTTTTAGATAAAAAAGAATTTAAAATTGAACTGTTTTAAGACGCTTGTGATCTCCTCGCCTCCAACGGAGGTGCAGACTTATAATGGAGAAAAACAAATTTGTTGTCAGGAATAAATTTCGCTATAGACCTCGGCTGATGGGCATTAGTAACTGCTTTAAATGATAACTTGCAGTAAATAAAGCCGACTGGTAATTACTCGTAATATCAAATTCTTATTAATAACTATAACTTAATATATAGCGCTGCTTTATAATTAACTGGAATATTAAGATCACCAACAGAACTTGCTACCAATATTTAACTCTGCCCAATAATTAATTACCTCCAACATTCAATCCCGGTGCCTACCTGAACCTTCAGTACACAGCAACTTCTGAAAATCTGTTGTATATTCGATCGTCAAGTTTATTTGAAGTGGGCGTTTGAAGCTTGGCACACTAATATATAGGCGCTGTTGGGGCGCGTATCCAGGATACTTATCGTGTCGGATATTGTATATAGGGGCTGTTGGGGCGCGTATCCAGGATACTTATCGTGTCGGACTCTAAACCTTCCTGCAGAGAATTTTGGGTCCAGGTTTCCTAAATATCATGTTATTTATAAGTGTTACATTTTGGTTCATCGTTACTATTGCATTTGATTATGCAACAATATACTTGTCAATTAATTTTCAATATCATAAAAATGTATTATATTTATTAATTTATTTTTAACATATATAAATATAATTTTGCCTTCCAAAAATTCGTGGTTTGGAAGCTTAATTGGCATTACAAATATATAGGTGACAAAATACGGTCGATTGGGGCGCGTATCCAGGATACTTATCGTGTCGGGATATTGTATATAGGGGCTGTTGGGGCGCGTATCCAGGATACTTATCGTGTCGGGATATTGAATTTAGAGGCTGTTGAGATATTACCCGGATTACCCTATGGTGTCCGGATATTAGCCGGACTTAAAGGTTTGTTAAAAATGTTTTATTGCAAAATTTTAAGGCATTGTAAAGGGGGTAGTCTAGTTACTTGTAAAATTGAAATGTGTTTCCTAATATGTTATGTATACATGTTGTTTACTCAGAAATAAAAAAAATTAAGTTTCTGTCAAATTTCTTATTGGGAATTTGGTTCTCATAAAATGGATTTAAATGAATTATCTCAAATTAACTGGGGGCACAAATTTCCTTTTTGGAAATTCTACGCTAAATGTTTATTGAATCGGTATATTTTCAAATAACCAACGTTATTTTTAAATTACTTACTGGATACAAAATGACAGGGCACCGAATAACAAAATTCTTTAAAAACCGAGATTTTTTCCCAGGGTTTCCTGTCCTGTTATGTTATTAATCTCAACGTTTGAAAGATGTTTGCTGAAAATCTGGCAGGAGCAACTGCAACAACTATAAATGACGCGAGGAGAAGTGACTGTTCTTAAAAAACAATGTAGTTTATCTCACTAGTCACTGACTAGTGACTAGTCATCCTCCGTGAGATATGACTAGCGCACCATCTAGTCATCCTCCGTGAGATATGACTAGCGCACCATCTAGTCATCCTCCGTGAGATATGACTAGCGCACCATCTAGTCATCCTCCGTGAGATATGACTAGCGCACCATTTAGTCGTATCGGACATCATGCCTCAGTATCGATCATAGACGTGTAGGTCTGTGGCGCGGGTCGCTAAGCTATTGTGTCGTCTATAGCTTTGTTTACTCTCTTGAGGAAGCTTTGTTGGTGCACAAGTGCGCTAACGGCTTCATTCTCGCTCCAAAACTGCCCCACTCCCTCACTCCTCCATCCCGTACTCCACTCTATCCTTATCTCCATCCCCTCATTTCACCTTCACCCGTACACCGTTACTCCCCCATCCCGTGTAACTCCAATCTTTCTTCTCACCCTTTAACATTTTACTTCACCTTTACCCTTGCAGGTTTATTCAACCACTCCCTAATATATCACGTCCATCACTCTATCTTCATCATTATCCTTAACCCTTCACTTCATCTACTCCTTTTTTTTCGTAATCCCCTCAATCCCTAATCCCGTCCTTCACCCATTCCTTCTTTTCATTCCCTCATTTCACTTATATCCTTATATCGTTACTCTGTCACTCACTCCTCCATTCACTCTCTCATCCTCATTGCCTTACTTTATACTCCACCTCATCATTCATTCAAAACTGCATTTAAACTTATTCGCCGCCAATCATTTCTTAATCAAATCATTTATTTTTCTCAATTTTTTCGTCCCACACTCCAACCCGACCAATTAACCTTGTGCCTCTCTCCTTAAAATACATGTTCTTGATCTGCCTATTAATCAGCTCTCACTAACTTACTTCCTTCATTACATACCTCAATCCTTCCACTCCTTACAGTGCTCCTTCTCACCTTGCATGACATCAATATTCTATTGATTTGTTTCCTTTTCTTTGATTTGGTCGAAGTTTTTGTTTTACCTTAAAAATTCATAACCACGATATATTGTTGCCTTCTCAAAATTTTGCCTTCTCATCGTCAAGAAAATTCAAGTTCACGCCATTCCAATATTTGTTTAGTCATGTGCGAATGGTAAAAAAAGTTGCGTTTGCTTGAATTCAATCAAGATAAAATTCAATCATTTAACAGAAAATTAAGTTGACATTATTTCTGCAGCTCGTGCATTGGGTGTACGCATATTTCAGTGATTGTTGGCCATCGACAAAACAGATGTAAGTCTCAAGCTGTATACTCAAACTTCTATTCATTTCAAGAACGTCCAAACTTACATAGACTATGCACCAATAAACTTTACACAAAAACCTTAAATAAAACTACTATTTTCATATCTATTATTATTTTCATATCTTCCAAACTAGCGTCAACTCGACAAGATTAAACTTTGATTTTAAGTTAGTCCCGACGTCCCGCCGGGTTATTTGCATAGCGTTATTTTGGCGAGCCCTCAACAGCGGGCCAACAGAGCTGCTTTCTTCTTCTGTTTTGTTTTGATCAGACAAGTTGTGGGCAAACACGTCTATATATGTGAGCCTCGGGCCCCACCCCTGGGCCTCCTGCTCATGTGGGGCCTTCCATAACACGCCTATATATGTGAGCCTCGGGCCCCACCCCTAGGCCTCCTGCTCATGTGGGGCCTTCCATAACAAGTCTACATTGCAGGGACCAAATAAATAAATGTATAACAATCCCTGAACGGCAATTGACGTTTTAAGAAACTATTTAAACAGTGATAATCTTCATACATTTCAAGGGATGTCATTCAGATGCAGGACAATAAATTGTTATTTTTTCTGTATAGTAAATTTAAGTTTTGATTGTTGACTGACGCCCATTTCTGTTGATGTTGATGCAGGATTGACGCTCTTCTTGTGTTGATGTAGACATAACGCCCACTTGTACTGATGTAGACCTAACGCCCCTTGTACTGATGTTGGCCTAACGCCCCCTTGTACTGACGTTGACCTAAGGCCCCCCTAGTACTGATGTAGACCTAACGCCCCTTGTACTGATGTTGGCCTAACGCCCCTTGTACTGATGTAGACCTAACGCCCCTGGTACTGATGCTGGCCTAACGCCCCCCTTCTCCCCCCACAGGAGTGGTCCGGCTACCCCGTCTCCCTGCAGGTAGTGTGATGCACCTACGCGATGTAGTAGCGGTAGGTGGTTGATGCCATGATGGTATGAGATCATCTGTGTGGTCATCTGTCTATTTGATCATTTGTCTGAGTGGTCATTTGCCTGCGTGACCATTTGATTACGTGGTCATTTGTGGCATGATCACTTTACTGAGCAATCATTCGCCTTTGTGATCATATGTCTGCGTGTTCATTTGCCTGTGTGATCATTTGTATATGCGACTATTCACCTGTGTGATTATCTGCCTGAGAGATCATTTGTATGTGTGGATTAAAAATTATCCTAATTTAGTAGTTATTTCAGAAATATTCAAGAGACTGTGATGAAACCTATATCACCACAAGTACCAAAGCTATAACCCTGTCCACCTCACCTATTAAAGAATACAGCCTCTATAATGTTTATGGTATCGAGGAGAGTCTACGTGCGATAGACCATACCTTTCAGTTATATTTCTATTTCCTATATTAACTTTTTACTCAGATCCATGCATATAAGTTCCTAATGGTAAAAAGGTTGCATGTCTTGATGCAGATAATTATTACATTTGAGGAAAGATTGTGCACCAGATTTAAGAAAATGAGACGAGGTTTTCGTTGAGAAAAACGACATTTCTAAAATTACCCCGTACCGCTTTACTTTTTTTATGGATGCCTTGGTCAAAACTATTAGTATTACAGGAACCGGTAACTAGAGTTACCGTTAGTAGACGGTTGTAAATATAGTTTCCGGCCTCAATTAAATAAAGACCACGAATAATATGCTAGAAGTTCTAGGGAATAGGAGATGAGAAGAAAACCTTGTGGTGAGGTAGAAGTGCTGGGCAGAGAACTGTTGATCCAAGGATGGTACAGAGATGTTCAACCTGAGGGTTTAATGAAGGGAAGAGGAGCGCAAGGATAGGGTCATGGAGTGAGGGGACCTGGAGTAAGGGGACATGGAGTGAGGGGACATGGAGTGAAGGGACATGGAGTGAGGGGACCTGGAGTAAGGGAACATGGAGTGAGGGGACATGGAGTGAAGGGACATGGAGTGAGNAAGCCTAATACAACACTGAACTTAAGAAGCCCAATACAAGTGAACTTTAGAAGCTGGAATAAAACTGAACTGACTGAAATCTAAAGTAAAGTTATATGTAAACAATTTACGATTTATTCACGATGATCATTGCTAGGAACACAGTTAATAATTCTTCAAGATGCCACTTGATCGGGTATTGTGCGGGACGGTAAATACAGTCCGTAGTACTTGTCAATCGCGATACTCAATACGCATTACGAGACAAAATATTCGTACTTGCAATCACAGTATAGTATAGTATAGTATAGTATAGTATAGTATAGTATAGTATAGTATAGTATAGTATAGTATAGTATAGTATAGTATAGTATAGTATAGTAAAACAGTATTCAAAGGCAAGTGTAACGGCTCCCCCTGCTCATCATTAACAGTATTCAAAGGCAAGTGTAACGGCTCCCCTTGCTCACCATTAACAGTATTCAAAGGCAAGTGTAACGGCTCCCCCTGCTCACCATCAACAGTATTCAAAGGCAACTGTAACGGGCAGTTACAAGCAATAATAACAAGTGCTCAGCTTCTGCCTGCGTGACCCTCACATCTCAAATATCTTCCCTCGGATATGGTCCCTCAGAGGGGTGACTCCCTCCAGTGAATTAACGCCGTATGATCGGTCTGCTTTTTGCGCGCCTAATCTCCTGTTGTGTATGTTAAGTCATAGATTTTAGTTATTATTTCTAGTAATTTATAATCTGTTTAACAAATTGCATAGCACTGATGAAATTAAATATTTAACTCGAAAATGAAGTCTGTTCATCTGAGTATATTGCGTAGACAAGTTTCGCTTCAAATATTGATTTATTTTATTTCCAAGCTTTCTCTCGAATTACTCGCCTCGTCGAATGTGCTTCCTGTATTCCTCATAAAATTCATATATTTGAGAACACTTCTGTTTGAAAACTTAGCCGAGTTGCTTTAACGGTATTTTGAAAATAAAAATTTGCCGGCTATATTATCTCAGTAGCAATCCGACATAATTTGTAACTGAGTTCGACCGACCAGAGATGGTTAAGAGGGCTATCCCGATCCGCTGCGTCGAGGGATGGTCTTGGATGCTGTAACCATTAGACCATTAATGCCTCCCTTAGGATCATCTTCTCATCAGAAGTTATCACTGGTGGCGTGTGACATATGTGTTCTCTCATACAACACATGATCAAAAGTTATCACTGGTGGGGTGTAACATGTGTTCTCTCATACAACACATGATCAAAAGTTATCATTGGTGGGGTGTAACATGTGTTCTCTCATACAACACATGATCAGAAGTTATCACTGGTGGGGTGTAACATGTGTTCACTCATACAACACATGATCAGAAGTTATCACTGGTGGGGCTAACATGTGTTCTCTCATACAACACATGACTTGAATTCGTGTAGAAGATCTCGAGTAAGAACTACTCTACGGGTATTGTATCAAAAGCATATATCATGACATTTTACCCATACAATAAACATTGCTTTCATGTATTTGAAACCGAGCTTCGTAACTACCAAGAAGTGTTGGGTCAATAGACGCTATAAGCTCCATGCCACGTGCGTGCACTTGATCGTTCAAGTTCGCTGCTAAGTTTTGAACTAACGACTCGAGTTGCAAGAAACTTGGTTGAGTTGAACGGAAGTTTGTGTGTTGTGTATCCAACGACAGCAAGTTGAGCCGTTGCAGCAGCTCTAATGTTCGGCAAGCCTTTATTTTATTGCGACTTGCAACAAACCGCGTGCAAATTCTAGTACAGAGCGCTGTGCTTCTGAGCTTTAATTCAGAATGCAAGATTCAGTATAAATATTATTTTTACGAGCAATTTGTAAACAATTAGTACAGAATATATCCTGAATTTTCATTACAATATGTAAATTTTAAATTAACTTCATCCTTGGGAAATTGAAAAGAAAAAATATTGACAACCCCGAATAGGCCGTTGATATAAATACCCCCACCTAAAAAATTCAAGAATCAATGTCTCCTTCGCATCATTTTATTATTGATACAAATATTGACTACTGATTTTCAATTTCTTATTTTCAATTTGAATGTAAATTTAAGTTGCTAAAATTAAAAATTCAAAGTAAGCCACTCCTGCAGCGACGCTAAGACTCCCACCAAGAAGAAATATTGATGGTTTAAGCGTCACTGGCTGCGCCCAATAGAGCTTCAAATAAACAAGCGCGACCACAAAGTGATTTCACAGAGCACATTTTCGTGACACGGACACCGCAGGGCCAGAGGAGGGGCTGAACACAGGGTCAAAAGAGGGTCCTGATCGGTGTTGCCATTTGTCGGCCACGGTGTTGCCATTATTTGGTGTCCACGGTGTTGCCATTTGTCGGTCACGCTCGTCTGAGGGTGTATTGTACACGCGTTCTCCCTCGCTCGGTCGACGTGGCGGTGTACACGCGGAGCACCGAGGTAATTAGAAGGAGGGCTGGAGCGTGCAAACACTTATTATTGAGCCTTTACACGCGCGGGGAAGCTGGGTCCTGCACGTGGGAAGGGGGTGGAAGAGGTGGTGGACGTCAGCACGGGGAGGTGGAAGAGGTGGTGAACGACCACAGGGGTTGAAGAGATATTGGCAATATCGCGGGATGGAAGAGGTGGTGGAGGAGAGGGCAGAGGTGGAAGAGATGGTGGACGTCAGCAAGAGGTGGAAGAGGTGGCGGACAACAGTGTAGGGGTGGAAGAGGTGGTGGACACTAGCGCGGGGCTGGAAGAGGTGATGGACAACAGCTCCGGGGGTTAAGAAGAGGTGGACATCAGAGCGGTGTGGAAAATGTGCTGGACGGCAGCACGGGAATGGAAGAAGTGGTGGACGTCAGATGGAGTAAAAAAAAAGTGGTGGAAGTCGGCGTTGGTTTGAAAAAGGCGGTGGACAACGGCTTTTATGGTAAATTTGAATAGATATCAGCACGTGGGTTGAAAACCGATGTAATTTAACTCGCGTGTTAGAGAAGCGGTTTTCATCAGCCAACAGCACGGTAAGGGTGAGTGCAGTACGGGCTGCAGGGGAGGACGGTCCCGTGAGTGCAGAGTGAGTGCAGTACGGGCTGCAGGGGAGGACGGTCTGGCGAGTGCAGTACGGGCTGCAGGCGAGGACGGTCCGGTGAGTGCAGTACGGGCTGCAGGGGAGGACGGTCCCGTGAGTGCATTGCGAGCTAAATCATCAGTTTTATCGGCGACTAAAAATCAAGGTTGCCAAATGGGCCCTTCTCTGATCATATTTGATTATAAGAGCCGTTTTCTGAATTGTGAACAGTTTTGATTTTTTGGGACCTGATTTGGCCGCTTGCTACTGCCACCATCCGGAAACCAAAGTGGATAACTATACACAGAGAAAATAAAAATATTTATATTTTTAATGCTTCATCATCAGGTTATATTACTGCACGAGCGAACAAAGTCTACCCGAGATTTGAACTTTTCTCTACTGCGATGTTTGAATAACAACAATTTTACAGAGATAAGTTCTTCATATTGATGGCATTGAAACACAAGCAAGGAGCCCGCATTTTTTGAGAGTTTTCCAGCACATATATTTTGCATAGGAGATTATTCTGAGCAAGGTTTGGAGCCGAATTTTTTCTGTCTGAGAATTCCACAAATTCAGCTACCGGGAATTCTTGTAAGCAAAAAATAAATACCGAACACTCACGAATCAAGTTAACAATCTCGAAATTTTGATAAATAAACAAGGTTTATTGCTGCTACCTTTTTATAAATTGCTTGCTTTGAATAGCTATTGAATGCACGCTATATTCCTGACAGTCTTACGGGCATTTCGCTGCTGAAGTGAGATCAATAAAATAATCAAAATGAAGTGAATGGTGAATTTGGCTTACGATTATTTTCATTTTGATGCCTGTAATAAAGATGGAGAAAGAAAAATCTACAAAATAATTAAAAAAACTATTTTG